CATGCTTGTCCCCATGACAGAGGCCTGAGCCATTTATACCTTCATCGAGCCCACAATGATCCCCTCTCCAGGGGCCTTCAGCTCCGGACAAAAATGAACCAGAAGCAAAAATGACAGAGAGGCCCAGCTAGGGGACCCAGGGAGGAGGCGGTGCTGAGACCTCGGTGGCAGCTGACCCTGGTAGGGAGACCCTCTGTCTCATCTCAGTCTATCAGAGCATCCAGTGAGGGCCTGGGGCTGCTGGAGACCCCAAAACACGCCAAGACACAGGCCATGGGGCAGCACAGGAAGATCTTATCCTGCCTGAGAGGTCCCAGGATGCTGGGCTGGCCAAGGCTTCCCACAGCCTCCTGGAGCCTGAGCCTATTCCTCCAGAAAGATGCAGTAACAGAGGATCAGTATGAAGAGGAGGAGGAGGATGGACATATACAACAGGACTGCCAACATGCTGATCATTCTTAGTGCGGGGATGCGGCTTGACGCTCCTGTAGGCTCTCGGGGTCAGCTGCTGACTTCCAGCCTAGAGTCTGGGCATCACCACCTTGGAAAAATCTGTCTAGCCAAGACCCCATCTCCCCTCAGGGAGGGGCTCCAGGCTCAGGAGTCTCTCAGCCCCTGTGAGGTCACAAACTCCAGGATGGTGGAATGCTGGCTTCCCAGCTACAGCCAAATCCTTTATGAACGTGACCAGTATGTTGAAAGCAGTACTTCTGGTATATAGTCATAATATATTTTTTTTGTCTGTCTCTTTAGATTTTCTAAGGGGAAGAGTCTTTTCCCTATCTCTAGAAAAATCTCGGGAAGTCCTCATAAATTTTCTGATCATTCTTAGGTAATAAGTCTTATATTACTAAAAATGGGGAATATAGCTTCCATTCAATTATTTTAAGTGTCCATCTAGTGTATTAATCATGTTTTCAATGATCACTGATACGTAAGACTTCTCTGCTTACCACCAGCTGGGGCCACGCATAGGGTGGCTTGCTATCTGCTGGGAGGGGATGGGGACCTTCTCTCTTTACTTACCCAAATGTGTTTCTCTTTACCAGGTTTCTGTCCACTCCCCCACCCCTAATACCTCCAGGATCAAAACAGATGGGATGGCAGGGGAGGGCATAGCTCAGTGGTAGAGCGTGTGCTTAGCGTGAATGAGGTCCTAGGTCCAATCCTCAGTACCTCCATTAAAAAAGTAAATAAATAAACCTAAATACCCACCCCCACAAAAAATTTAAAAAAACAAAACAAAAAAACCAGATGGGATGAAGAGTGAGGTGGGGGGACACGTCTCTGAGTTGGGCATGAAATTAATCCTGGACATTCTCTCTTGGCCTCTATTTCCAGGGTTCTCCAGAGATGCCCCCACTCCTTGTGCCCTTTGACTGCACCCCTAGTGATGTGAACAGACCTTCTTGGGTCCGCTCACCCTTGCAGGCCCCCTCTAGGGCAGAACCTCTTGGGCAGCCATGGACATTTCGACCTCAGATTCTATACCTGCTAAAGGAGATGATGAACTTTCGACTTAGGAGTGGACTGACCCGGCTCACCTGTGCTCCTCAATGCCAGGTGGTATTTATTAAGCTCCCGTGGATTGCAGCTGGAGCTCCTGGTATGAGTGTTACCAGAGAAAGAGGAATATCCTCCTGCTCTCTCTTGGAGGCAGGGGGTGAGACTATTTTAAGACCTAGACTCCATAATTCCCCCTCCTCTGAATGTCTAACTCTGTACTGCTAATACCCTCAAATTAGAAGAGATAATTGAGTCACAAGCAACCATTTTTCATTTATGTTCTTCCTAAATTCTGCATCTGGTCCACCACTTTCTTTGGAAGGCAGCTGCCATTTTATCAGGTGGAACCTTCAAAAACTGCCAGGATTCAACCACCTTTTACCTGCCGCAACCGTGATTTGCTGTGGTTCAGCAATTCATTCCTGTATCTTGGTGCCTTATCTGAAATGTTCATTTGCATATCCTGTGACACTAACAATTAGCAAGCATAGACCATGCCTCTTAGATGACCAGCCTCCTTTAAGCACTGGAGATGCAGAAATGATCGGGCCCAGATCCTCTCCCTGGCACCAGGGGAACAAAGGATGCAGGGGAATTGTGTAGATTGGAATAGTGGCTCTGCACCTTCCCAGCCTCCTGAAGGCATCTTTGCCTTAATCTCCAGCTCAGAATGATGAGGCTCCCAACCTGAGTGGTGTAGCAGGTCCGGCCCCTCCTGGGATGTCCAAGGCTCATGGGTGGGTGGGGGGCTGTGGAAGGGTCATGCTATGAGCCTCCTGCTAGCTACTTCTCTCCTCTGGCTTTGAAAGGCTGATCAAAGCCAAATGGCCTTAGACCTGCTCTGGTGAACACAGTAGCCACCAGGCACATGTGGCTACGGAGCACTGGAAATGCAACCAGTCCCAACTGCAATATGTTGTCGGTATAAAACACGCACTGGATTCCAAAGGCTTTGTACAAAGAAAAAGAATAGTAAATATCTCATTAATAGTTTAAAAATATTGACTACATGCTGAAATGATGGTATTTTGGTTATCTTGGGTTAAATACGATATATTATTAATTAATTTCACCTTTTGGGTCCTTTTTAATATGGTACTTAGAAAATTTAAAATTATGTAGCTGGCATTATATTTCAACTGGATAGTGCTGCCTTAGATTTTTCAAACAGCACGTTCTCTCTTCCTCGTAAATACTACCATGTCCTTGCAGTGACAGAAGACCTTGCCTTTCTCAGAAATACTAGTGTATAGCAAGTACCATGCTTGGCCACTTATTCTGTGCTATGCTCTTGGTATGAACTGTTTCACTTAATTCTCACAGCAATGCTATGGGGGTGGGGGGAGGAGCTACGATTCTGCCCATTTTCTAGGAAAGGAAAACTAAGGCTGGGCATAGAAATTACGTCACTTGGCCAAGAGTAAGGGCAAGAACAGGAGGCAGGAAACGACACCAGAGCTGTATGGCCATAGTGTGCACACCTGACTCCTTTGCCCACTGCCCTCACAGCCATAGCATCCCATGGCCCCTCCTCATCACAAAGAGTCCCAAAGTTCTCACTGTCTTAGAATCACAGAGCCTCTTCCCAGGTCCAGAAGATGAGGTGTTCTCACCCTCAGCGATCTGCCCTGCTTTCCTTCTTGGTTGCATCAGTCAGGCCTGGATGTCCACACTGTGCGGACCCAGTGAGCACCAGGAATCTGAAGTGGGGAGACTTTTCCTCAGAGAGAACGGTGGGTTGTTTGAACTTCAGAATGTGGGCCAATAGATAAACAGCAAGTTTCTACTGTATAGCACAGGGAACTATATTCAATATCTTGTAATAATCTATAATGAAAGAGAATATGAAATATATGTTGTACATTATGGCTGAAACATGCTGAAATTGACACAACATTATAAGCTGATTATACTTCGATTTAAAAAAAGTTAAAAAAAAAAAAAAAAGAACGTGGGCCAGGTTAGTGGGAGGGTTGCCTCGGGTCCAAGAGGTTCACCTAGCCCAGGATGCAGGCAGTGTTACTGCTTGTGAAATTAGGGTCTCTGAGCCTTTCTTGCAGTGCCGTTGGGGACCTCTGACAGTCTTCTCTGGAACAATGCGTATCTGTTTGGGTACCTGAAATGCAAATCTGACGAAATCCCTTGGCTTCAAGGCCTCAGTTTACTTTGAGGACAAAGCTTTTGCAGAGCACCTGCCCACCTCTCTAGGCTTATCTCCTTGTCCCCATCACGTTCCAGTTTCAGGTCATTGGAACAATATTTTAGTCTGGCGACGTCCAAATAAACATATGGCCAGAATTCATTCATTTGTTCAACTGTGTCAGCCACTAAGCTAGGTGCTCTGAATATAATGGTCGATCAGACAAGATCCCTATTGTCCAAACTCGGCACAAGTCACATAAGCTCTTACTATTAACAGTTTCTCACTATGGGTGGAAGAGTAAACATCCCTCCAGATTAATCAGTGACAGCAAACTGAACATACTGAAAAGTAAAACCGGTGAGGGAATACTACTTCTAAAATTTCAGACTACTGTTGGAAATTTCTCCAAGTCATCAAGACGCCGAATTTAGGCTCCGCTCCACGAGGAGGCGCCGCAGGACCGCTTGCGCGGGCTCCGCCCCGAGCGACGCCGCTCTAGGCCACACGGCGCGCCTCTGCTGCATTTCCGCCGGCGCTGCGCAGGAGTGGCAGGTTCCCCTGGTGTGGTTGCAGTTCCGCGTGGATCGACGCTACCATCCGACATCCACGGACATCCACGCTGTGCCGCGCTGTCTCGGCGCCCGGGTGAGTCCCCTGCGGGGAGCTCTGGGCACGTGGTCTGCTTCTGACTACCCCCGTTATAAGGGGAAACTGAGGCCCCAGTAGATGGGGAGCGCCGGCCGCAGGTAGGCTCTGAGCCCAGGCCCGCTCCTGCCGCCAGGTGTGGACTTCTCGGGGCTTGTGTCCTCGACAAAGGGGCCTCCAGGTCCCGCGCCACCGGCCGGCGCTGCTTCGGAGCGTCGGGTCCCCCGGCGTCACCCGCCAAGTGGGGAGGCTTGTGCCGCTGAGGGCGAGAGACGCGTGGGCCTGAGGTCCCGCAGGGGGTCGTGCGGAGCCCACGTGAACCCGGCCCGAGGGGCGCCAGAACCCCCTGACTCTCACTGCCCATCACCTCCGACTCCAGCGTTTCATCCCCCAAAGCCGCCGGTCGGTTGCAGACCAAGAAGTGTTCTCGTGACCGTTAGCCTATTTTTCTCAATAACCTTTAAAGGAAAGCGTTCAAACCTCCATTTTACGGACGGATTGTTTGAGCTT